ATATATATATATATATATATATATATATATATATATATATATGTGTGTGTGTGTGTGGGGGTGTGTGTGTGTGTGTGTGTGTACATACATACAATGGCACATGCTCTTGTATATTTGCAACTCACAAAGAGAATTTCATTAGCAGATGTAACCAATGCAGTGTTTTGTCTTAATTCAAATTCATGATTATGTATCGTAGCAACTGAACAGCACTCACAGAACAGATTTTACTGATTCCATTGGCTGGTCTAGCCAATCTAATCTTTTGATTGGTTGTTGCAGAATTCAAATACTTGACATATAAGCACCTTTCTTAATACCGTGCATAACAATTCAGAAATTTCTGTAGAGTAGAATAGCAATATAACATTCAGTCAAAACTTGCTTGCAAGAATTTCAATGAATAATTAACTAAACTGAAAAAGAATTTACGACCCTGATGGACTCCACCAGGTCATAAAACATGATCGACACAGAGAGTATGGTTATAAAGTGAGCCTTTGGCGCCACCTCTGTGTCACAATGAAGCCGTAGACATCATCATATGTCACAAAGGCATTATTTACAGCAAATGTGACATGAATACGAGGATCAGAAGAATGAAGATGACATCAAAATTTGTCTCTTTGTGTCGTTTCTTCTGGACCTCCTTCTCAATGATTATCATATTTGTTTGGTTGTCTCCGGAATCTCAAATGATCTTCTTGAACACTTATGAATTAGTCTGTAAGATAAAAAAAAAAACATGAACAACAAATTACATAATTATTCATATATTTCTTAATAATAACTTGTGTGTATGTCTTGTTTCATTGTGTAAACTTGTTTCATTGTGTATAATGTTAAAAAGTAGTAATGAAACTTAAAATAAAAGAATAATAATTAAGACAGAAACAATTTTCATACAAGAGCCATTTCTTGTAACTTGCTTTTGCTTATAACACAAGGCAAACAAAACACTTTCATCTGGTCTAGAACACCATCTCCCTTGGACATTCCTTTACACAATTAAAAGCGAGTTACCTGACATAATAAACTCACAATATGACAGAAAAAATCAATACCAGCAACCACGGCGAGAACATTTGAAGAGAAATATCAGAAATTATGAGTAAAAAAGAGCGATTTTGGAAAGAAAATACAGCACACTGTACATTAAAAGTACATAAAACCATATGATAACAATATCCTTTACTTAAGAATTTACATCTGCTTTACACAAGAATTTACATATCTACATAGTTAAGCAAAATACTAAAAACATTCAACCAAAGATTTGGATTTTCAGAGTCTATGCATATTCATAATTTATTTGCTTATTAAAATCATTTTTAAGAAAGGCCTTTATAGCATTACTGACTTAATGCAGTTGTGTTCGTCTAAATGAAAAGGCAAACGTTATATAAAAAATAGACCTTACGCTAAGCCAATCCCCATGGATACTGTTGCTAAGGTCCCATAAAACAATATTTTTTTGACATAGGTCTTGACATAGGCACTTTTCTGATCAGTTGTTAAGGATGATTGACACTCCGAAAGAGACCCCATTAAAAGAGTAATAAATGATTCCTTCATAATGCTCAGTTCTGTTTTCATGTAATATTATCAAAATATTGCTGAAGTAGTATGTATAACTCAGGGGATTACTTATGTTTACCTGACTAGTTACCAAGTAATTCTCCAATCTAGAAGAGTATTATTGCGGTAGCACCCAAAAAAAATGCAGGACAAACAATACGAGTGGACGTTTGTAGGCCACACATGGCGATATAAAAAAAGAAGAGAAAAGCTGATGGCACATAATTATGAAGCAACATACATGACACGTAACACACCTGGGTCAGGTGTCATTTACCTGTGTATTGTCTAATGTGGAAATACTTTGACTGTTTCCAGCATCCAACCCTGTTTGAGAGAGTTATTTGAAGATTAAAGGGCTATTAATGCAAAATTAATACAAAAAGAAACTCAAAGGAAGAAATGGAATTGTGGGTTTCCCTCCAAACTCAGGTGTATTAATTCAATTCCTACTATCATAAATTATGTTTTTCACATCTACAAATATATTATTTAGAATATTTGATCTTACTAATAATATATACTTACTATATAGTTGGGTATTTAGACAAATATTAAGTGAGTACTATACACCTAGTGAAGGCATCCAAAAGACATTTAAAGACATAATCTTTACAGCTGATGCCATTTTCTGCGACATACACACACTGATCTCCTGCAAAACTTTTACTTTTAAAAATTTCAGAGAATCATCGAGATATGGCACCATAATTCAAAAGAATGTAAACCATAGAGATATAATAAGAATACAAGAGCACTAACTCCAACGCATTCGATCTTGCAAATACGCAGAGCTATGTATGTGCAATCAACAAGATGGCTGCCATAGATCCAGCCAATCAAAATAGGCCTAAACAACGTTTTCAATGAGGCGTCCTCAATTTTTGAGTACAAAATAAAATTTGAGCATTGCGGTGTTGCGTTGTAGGGAATATGATTTTGATTTTCATCCCTCAGTAAATTATTTTTAATATTAGACACTCCACTTGGTCTCTTTTTGCCTATGCTAATTTAACCATTTATTAATATTATTAATAATAATGATTAATGAAATAATAGTTTGTCGGAGGGCTTATTTATGGTTATAATATGTATACTAAGTCTGAAGGTGGCGCTTTCCTACGGCGGCCATCAAGTTGAGTACACATACACAACTCTGCATTGCTTCGCCATCTTGTCAGCACGCTAGTTGTTTAATAGCTCTATGATGTAAACACTATTATGCGACTAGACACTGTTCCCAAGCAACCAATATGCATGTGATAATCAGCCAATCAAATTTCTTAACGTGTGAAAAAAATAATCTGTTAGATACAGGTTTTTCAGTACACTGGCTACAGAAAAACAGAAACTCACTATTTTTGAACTGACAAGCTTCTTGATAAATCAGCTCCTTAAGCTTTTCCTTGGGCAGTTCATCCATTTCATATTCAAATGTGAACGGCTCATCACTGATTGGCTGAAACGAGAAACAAACACATGGTTAGTCATAGTACATACAGTGCAATGGGACACAATGGCTCTGATGTGCATTTAATACGTATACTCAATCCGAATGTTGTAAATTTTGTATTCAAGGGCATATGCAAGGTCTATGGCTGAGGAGTTTTAATTCTCAATGACCTATCTACTGCACATAAGTGGTTTTGTAATATAATGGATGTTCTTGAACTCCATAGTCCATAGCAAGGTTATGCATAATGTTGCAGTTTTCCAGTGTTTAAAGTGTTGAATGTCTTCATGATGATCTAGGCTGAAATAAATTTAATTACATTTAGCATTTGGTCCCTGAGAATTGGAGTCTTTCTGAGAAAGAAATGGTGCGATACAGTAAGTGAAGAGGGTATCAAAACAATACCGATGTTAATGCTACAGGTTTGAAGAGCCCCTGACTTAACCGCTCGATCACTCCACTCACTCTAAAATAATCAATAATCCATTCAGTCCATTACCATTATTAATTATTCACCTAGTTTCAGAATAAGAATTAAGATAAATTTCACCATGCAATCAGACAGACTATATTTCACGATCATATGAAGTCTATGCATGCAATAGAATTAGACAAGTCTTAATGTGTAATAATTATGACAATCATATAGACTATTCACTGTCGTTGCTTTGCTCACCTCATCAGCTGGGTCATAGTATTGTTCTAAATAGGGGTGGCTTAGTGCTTCCTCAACAGTGATTCGTTTAGTCGGGTTGAATGTTAGCATTTTCTCTAATAAGTCCAGCGCTAAAAAGTAAAAGTTAAGACATGAAAAACAAAAATTGTTACACATGATGCAAAATGTTAGAGAGAAATATGAATATATAAATGTATATTTATTAAAAAATATAAATCATCTGTACAAAATACTAAAAAACAAATAAATTATGCAAATTATAATACATGTTATGATATACAAACTGTTTTATTAAATGTAATTAAAACAATATCATTTCATTAATAATCCAAACTGAATAAATATAGAAGATAAATATACAGGAATATTATTTAATGTACTATTTTAAAAAAATCAGTATTGCTTCCAATTTGAAAGACCAATGGTTCTAATATAAAGCAAGCCACTTGTTTGTCTTATTGGGCAAGGCACTTTATTCATTTTGTTTGGTTTTGCAACTGGGAATTACTAGCTACAACATTAATGAAATATACTCTCCCAGGGAGTGGAATATGTGCTCCTCAACCGTCTGATCCAATGACCGGGTTAATAATGCAGAGTACAGACACCTTGGTATCATGCACTCTTTAAGACTAAAATATCAGTCGTTCAAGGTGATTTAATTTACATAACGTTAGACTGGAATCTAGATTTAATGCAATAGAAATTATTGAAATACTGGTCTGCTGGGATAAAGATTATATTGAATAAATCAGTTTGTACACTTGAAACTGGTAATAAATTACAGGGAAATGAATAGAGAAGAATCAATACAGATTTAGCATTAGAGACACAAATTATGAATGCATTAAAATACAAGTGACAATAGCCTTGGACAAGTGAATTGGCTTAGATCCGATAACCTCTATACCACTACCTACATCATCAGTCATTTACATTATTCTCAATTGCTTTGAATACATGATTTTGAAATGCTATTGAAAAAATTTACCACACAATGTATGCATACAGGTGTATGGAAAAAATCTCTTGTTTGAAATACAGGAAAGAAGTTAATAAACAAAGTTGAATAGCACCTGCTATCAACAATTGGCAAAAAAAAGAAATTATCCAATTAAGTTTTTCTCATTAGTTGAAAAATTTCTTTTTGTGGAATATTAACTTAATTAATTCATTCAGATGATATATTTATTCAATTATTTAATTACTAGTTACTTTGTTAAAACATTTATCATTAGTGTTCACTATCAAGAATTGCATCAGTTATAATTTTAAGAAGTGTTTATTTGAATGAATATTTTTTTCTTTTGAATTCAATGAACTGATCCCTATATCCACCCAAGGTCAGTCAAACACTGAAGAATACAATGACCTATCTTAAAGTGTTTTCAGTTGCCATAGTCACCAGTACAGCAAATTATAATTTTTGTCTCATACAGCAACCAATCACAAGGTAGACAGTAGAGGATATTACATTTAAAAAACAAAATCACAAGATGAATTATCTAAACTATCATTATTATTATTATTATTATTATTGATAGTAATTGTTATTGTCGTGATGGAATAATAGACAATAACTGGATTTGTGTCAGGAGAAACATGTATAGGAATTCAACCCTTGCCATCAGACGCAAGCTCGGTGGTCTAGAGGTATGATGCCAGGCTAGTGATCTGGAGATCGTGGGTTCGAGTCCCACCCGAGAACAACTTGCGATTTTTTTCGCAGTTGTTTTCAAATGTACTGAGTATTCGGTACATTTCCACGTCAGGTAGGGCAAAAATTACACCTATTATTATTATTATTATTATCTTAATTCATCCAGTTATTTTAATGAGTTCTGGGAGAGGACAGCGAGCGACTTATTATTATTATTATTATTATCATGTTCTAAGAATTCTAATTCCTAGAAAAGAACCATTAACACGATTCACAGAACTAGGTAATAAACCTGGCAGATGTCAAGCATGTCATAAGATTCAGACAAGTTCTAATAATCACTTACCTTTAGGTGAGGCCTTCTCAAACATTGAGTTCCAATAGACCTTAGGTTTGAATGGCAGTGACTGTAGATAGCCTCTAGCCTTCTCATTCATAATACACTGCAGATCCTCAGTGGTTGGAGAACCTAGCACACCTAAAATGTGGTTCAACTGATCCAAATCTGAGAGTATTGCATTAAGGATAAGGATGCATTATCAACAGGTAAAAGCAAGCAACAGTAATCTAACAGAAACCATTGGGGGGGGGGGGGAGAGTTCTACTAATATGATTAATATAAGACACTGTAGTGTGAAACAAACTCTGACGAATGTGATGCAAACCATGATTTTCAGACCTTGTCATTTAAGGCATGCGATCGCACACCATAGCGCACCTAAACTGCTATCGAGGGGTGTGAAAAATCGCTCGCCTTACATTTCAAAATAACTCACCTCCACAGCCCTCAAAATGCTGACCACGGCAATTATTTATCAACGTAAAAGATGCTAGGCCTAGGCTGAAAAACGTCTTTGTACCGATATCATGGGTCATTATACTTTTTTGTGTACAATATACAAACCGAACAAACAGTTAATAAACAACGATTTCTGGACGAAATAACGCAATAATCACATTGCTGTCTAGGAATTAACAACTAATGTAGGCCTAGCACAACACCCTGTAAATGAACCGTTTATACTGCTTTCTCAGACCCAATAGCGTAGCTCTGCCAGAGGTTATCTTTTGATTTTAAAATGAAACACCAGTAAACGTTAAAGTTACATGGTTAGATCAAGTGGAAATTACGCCTTCCATTGTTTAATAAAGTGCATTTTCGCTCCTTAAAAATCGATTGGAATCAACCTGAAATGAAGGTGGAACTCAAAGCAAATTTCTACGATTGCTGACTCTTTTTTAGTAGATGTTTATTCGGATTTGGATGTCGTTAGATTCATCAGTGTAAATAACAAATGCATAGCTTCATTTATTCTTCGAACAAGACACTTTTGAGAAACATGTTCCTAATTTAATTAGAGGAAATATGTAGAGAATAAAATTTAAATTTGTTAGATTTATTTAGATTTAATTTATAAATATAGACAAAATACACTGAGTTCTTTCTATCAGCAAGCTGTCACGCAATGAAACTTTGGGCGATCTGACGTCATCACAGCCAAGCACATGTCCCCACTAAAAAAATTAACCAATTAGCTGGCAGAGTTTAGGAGGCGCGACCTGATGTCTGATGTTTACAACAGACAACGGACCAGCAAGTGGCATCGTGACTACAAAGAATGTGTTGGGTTTAGGGAAAAAATGTCAGACCAAAAATGCACGTGAAAACAATATAAAAGCATTTGTTTTATTGGTGATTAGAGTTGCTGTACAGTACAGCAAAACAACAGGTACTGTACACTGTGTAGGCCTATGTTAACTTTTCGTAGGCTAGTCTACCAAACCCACGGGACACTTGCTAGGCCTAGCCTAGATTATCCACATAGGGCCATCCTGCCCCCGCGCCATCCCGCAAAATAATCACTCGCCTGAAAATTATGGTGAGTGTTTTATTGCTCGAATGACAAGGCCTGGATTCTATATTTCTTCATGAATTCCTAAATACTTTTTAAATTAGAATTGATAATTAAACCAAAGTAATAACTGTTAGCGTAATTATCCATGCAAAGCTGCAGCTCCAATTCTCTGGAACAATTTTCACTTCTTCATTAAATGCAGTATCAGCATCTTCAAAAACAAAGCTCAAATTCCATCTTTTTTCTCGATTTCTGGAGGTAAGTTTGTACAACAGTGCATGCAGACCCTTGACTTATCCTGGATTGATCAAAAGTACCCGGCTTCTTTGATCATCTTGACTTATTTTACTTTTATTTTAATGGGTTTTTTTAATGCAATCTGATATGTTCTACCAAAGTCATGATGAATGTGTCATGGAGTAGAAATTTCATTCTGATTATCAGATGCAATATAAATTCCAGCAATTGATTGATATTTAAATTTGATTGATGCAAATGATTTAAACACAGAATAAATATTGCACTATTATCAAAATAATACATTTAGTAATAAAGAATAAGGAATTCATTGAACACTATAATCATTAAATACAATACACCCAAATGTCATAATCTACTTTGCAATCAATAAAAACATATTGCACATAGGAGACATACTTATCATTTTACTTAAGCCAAAACAATAAATGCAGATATAATTTCCTAATGCGACCGTTCCACAGAGACTAACAACATTACAGGAAACAGATAAATACAAATTAAAACCAATCAAATTCAGTAGGCATAGAATCTAATTAGTTGTGGATGCATGTAGTTTAGTGCTTTGTGGTTTCAATCAAAACACTGAAAGTCCAAAATAGATTCCACTGCATGTGCCCTTGGGCTAGTCACTATCATGTGTCCCTCCATCCACTACATGTGCCCCTTCACCTAGGAGTATAAACAGGTACCTGGTATATATTTTCTAAGGCGGGATGTATTGGTATTGGCGCCGAATGTACAGTTACATGCACGGAAAGCTAATAAGATGGTTGTCTATGATACATGTCTGTTTTGCTTAATCCTGCAATATAATCATTTTCTCATGACTGAAATCAACTCCAGTCCCTAAGCCTCATAATGAGACTTAGTCTATAGAACATCGCTTCCTGTAAGTGGCAAGCCATTCCCTGATGAATGAGAATGAATTTAATCAGTAGGCCAACATCTTCTGCTACAAGATAATAGCTAATAATGGTTAATAAAGTTTTGGTACTTAACGCACTTTTCTCTGAATGTCTCGGAGAGCTTCACATTATTATCCTAGTCAATGGAAATAGAACAATCATAAACAATGTGGACTCTCATGCTCTCCAAGGAGTCTGCCAAGTCTTGTATTACAATTCAGCAGACTAATTAGACTGTATATCAAACATAGAACATTTGCATCCTACCAGGTACCCATATATTCCTAAGTGGGGTGAAAACATGCAACATAATAATAATAATAATAATAATAATAATAATAATAATAATAATAACAATAATAATAATAATAATAATTATGTTAATGTGCTTAGCATATGATTCGAACTCTGACCTTGAGTCGGAATGGAAAATGACACAAAAACACATTTTAACAATTGAAATTGAAAAGGATACAGTGTTTGCCGGGGAATAAAGGCCTATTACTAAGCATCTCGGCCAAAATGCATCCTACTGACCAAATATCAATAGACTTGGTGTATCCTTTTGAATTCAGCATGATCTCTGGTGCCCTGTACCATCTGGTGGCCACGTACTCGGTCAAGAAACCTGTATGGTCATGGTTTGGGTCTGCTATTCTGGCCAGGCCAAAGTCACAAATCTGCAGGATGCCAGTAGATAACTCAAAGAATAAACTGAATGTGATCTTTAATTTTCTGCTATTTTCAATATATAAATGAACATTTTATATTAATAATAAATATTTCATATTTATTTGTCAAACACAAAACATTTACAAAAACAAATAACAGGCCTCAACCATGAAACAGCAACACTCAAAGGTTATTATTGAGTTTAGGTCCTTTTAAAAGACTAATGCATGCAATAAAAGCAGACATACATCAAATGTTAAGGGAGTCGGTATGAGCAATGACATGAACTTTGACATTGTAAAGCACATACTCTATACATTAACATGTCTCAATTTATTTATATGAACGGATATTAAAATGAATCCAAACCTTGAGGTCACAAGTTGTGTTAAGAAGAAGATTGCTTGGTTTCAAATCACGGTGCAAGACATTGGCCGAGTGAATGTACTTAAGTCCACGTAAGATTTGGTATAGGAAGTAACACACATGATCGTTGCTCAGTCGTTGAGTTTTCAGCAGCTTGTACAAATCGGTTTCCATCAACGTCTGTACAATATATCTGAGAAACTTATTAAGGAAACATCTATAATCCTACAAAATGTTACCAGCCTTAAGCTGTCCAGATTATCAAACTCAATTTGACAAAACATGTCATGCCTAAATATGGTCATGATGACATCATGTCATGACTATATATGGGCATACAACAGTTTTTTTTTTCAAATACAATTTGATAGTCTTGAGAGAGCTTTAGTGTGAAGCTTTTTCTTTTAGGGATAAATGTTTAAATATAAAAAAAAAATATGCAAAAGTAGTACACACCACAATTACAGAGGGTTGAAGATATTCTTAGGATTTGAATTGACATATTAATTGCTAATATGACTGAATGCATTTAGATGTTTTGTGCATGTTATAAAATCCTTTATGGCTTTTGTAGTATTGTTTGCAGAAACAAAAGAAATAGAGTAAATTTTTTAACACCACAATATTGTTTAGCCTATATAATCAGAAGACTGTAATTACTGTATATATAGGTTAATAAATTCGTCGCTCACATCACGAACTAACACAATTAAATTCAATTGTGTTAGTTCGTGAAATCAAAAAAGCGCGTCAAAATACGCGCTGTTGTCGTTAAGGACTTTTTGTGTGGTAAAGAATACAAAATTGCTTGACAACCAATACGCGCTCGTTTTGACGCGCTACTGTGATTTGAGCGACGAATTTATTTACTGAAGATATTTATATAGGATTTCTGTCCCAAATACAAGAGTTACATTCACCATTGACTAGGTACACTAGTTGGTATTTTCAAACAACTTTTGTGCTAAAGCCATGCCTCTTGGATATTGTTGCTAAGGTGAGAAATCTTAAACTGCCTGGCTGTGGTAAATTTGCATATCCTGGCTATTGAATACAACATTCTGTTTGGTCATTTATTAGGTTTGATTGATACTCCAGAAAAATCCAATTTAAAAACATGTTAACCTTTTAGTTAGGACTGAACCAAAGGCTTTGAGATCGGAAAGAGAGCAACATAACTGCCAAACCACAGCTCCACTACTTACACTAGAGAACCAATGAATAATATATTTTAATTTTCCAACTGGCAAAAGATAAATTTTCTTAGATGTGAATATAGCCGAAAAGAAAAAAACAATCCTTTCATATAGCAAATATAAACCTAATTGCCATTATTCAGTTAATTGCCGTGTTTGTACTGGCAAAATAATCCCCAAATATAAATCCATTGGTGTATAAAATCAACAGAACTTTGAGCTGGAATCTGGAATTGTTGATCTATTCAACATGGATATAAACACAGCAAAATATACTGGGAGATAAAAGTGTCTAGTATAGGCAGACTATGAATTAGTTACTTATCATCTAGGATACATATATATATATATGTGTTGACAAAATGAAGCTTACAGTTCTGTCCACACTATAAAATATGTGATAAATTTGTGTGCTGTGTCCATATATTATGGGCATGATGATGATGATGTCATATTACATGCAAATAATGACATATTACATTTATTTGTCCCATAAATTTGATAGTCTGGACAGAGATTAACATAATTTAATATCCCTTTTTTGAAAGCAGTCAGGTGTTTACAAAAACACAAACACATTCATCAATGATCAGGCACACTAAAATAAATTACTGGAAGCACTGCCTGAGTTATTTAACAAAAAAAAAATTGATAATGAACTGTAATTTTTTATTCAAGCAAATTATTAGCATTCAATTTAAAATTAGATTGAGAAATATTTTCCTCGCTAATAATTAACACATGATATAATTAATAGAGTTAATATTCTTTGCATAAATCCTTAAATTGGCTAGTAATCAATAAAAAAAATTGTGTAGTAAAAAGCCAGTAAATCAGATAAAAAAAAGTGTGAAGTTGCTGTTGTAATGTTACGTTCTGTGTAATTAGGCCTTTACTAGAGCACAGTTTGTGTGTGCAAGTCATCAAAACAATAGCTTAAAAACATTTACAGACCAGTACACTTCCAATCACATCAACAGAACCTGGAGTGTAATTACCACTAATAAGATGTTAGCCCAATTATAATCCTTAAACCTTGAACAAAATGCTAATTGTATTCAATCAGAGAGAACAATGTGTAAGCCTGGAATTATACGTGGCTTTTGCATGGCAACTGATGTGAAGCTATAAAAAATATATTAGAAAATAGTAAATGCATTGGCTGAATTGATAGACTAGATATTTTTAATATAATTTTTATAGGTTATATATATATATATTTTTCATTATATTGTGTAAATATCAATCATTTTCATACAATAACACACAATGTAAACATGTCTATAATATAATTATCAACAGAGAAGCAGATTTAGATTCTAAAAATAGCCTGATTTTGCAACTCTGTTTTTAGAGTACAGTAAGGCTATCCATTAGAGTGGTTGGTAGTCGGTGGGATATGGCTAAATACATGAAATGTGGGATCTAGTCTTCGCAGAAAACAAATTTCTTTGTACCTCGTTATGTAAAACAATCAATAATACTTCCTCATATGATTGTGCACTATATGAGTAACTTAAGATAATGAACAGGTGCTAAACCTTATCATATCACATAATTTCATGTGTACTATTCATGTACATTTGTTTAAATTAACTTGAATTATATACCGCATACAAAGATTCCAGGCATCTGATTGGTTAAAAAGCGGGGAATAACTTCAACCATCACTCTTATTACGTAGGTTCAATGATAGTTCATAAATTGCAGAGGAAAACACTAACTATGGGATAGTAAAAAAGGACTGAGACCTCTACCGCGAGTGGCATTGGTCCTTTGACCGCCAAGGCCTATTTGGTGGGTACCCTTTTCATTACATTTTTTTGGGTCTTATAGAATCTATGTATGAGATATATAAAATAAATATTGATTCGGGAAATGGTGAAATCTATAGACCCTGGTTGGTGAGGAGACTGTAGCCTGTAACTATAGGGTATCTTTATAGTAGGCTAAGGTCTCCACATCACCTTGGGGCAATAGATTTCACCATTCACTGAATCTAGAGCAGTCAATATTTGTACACTATATAAAATATGACATCAGCTTGTAAGACAACAGGAAATTTTTAGCAATACAAATTGTGACATTTTGATATTTATACCAGGTCCTTATAAAATTTAAGAAAATTTGTTTATGATTTAAGAAATTTTTGAGGGTCTTTAAGAATGTTTAATGTCTCTTTTACTGTCTTTATGATTTACTCTTTTAAAATGTATTTATATTGTATTTAATTGAATGTGTATTTAGATGTAATTTTCATTATTTATTGTTTTAGTGTATTTTCTCTTATGAATACACCACAATATTTGCATGTACCACTTTTGTCTTGTAATTTAATTTGTATACTTTGTGTATTCCCAGGTCAGGAAAAACAAATTCATGTACTGATACTTGTATTTTGTATGACAATAAACGGAATCTGGAATCTTGATACAAAAGTGCATTCAATTAAGATTACTAGTAAAGGATACACATCTCGCATGTCATGAATAGACTGGACATGTAGAATATCTTGAATGTTGATAATCTAAAAAAAGAACAAAAAAGATAAAGTTAACATCAAATAACAAACACAATATTTTACACAGATGCTTCCAAGATAATAGTGATTATTTCAAGATCCACCTACAGAGGAATCTGTGGTTATCAGATTTTGGGGCAAGCAATAATTTATCTGTTCCCACAAGATCATTATTCAAGATCAGTACACAACAAAATATATACTGTACTCAGCCTTTCCGAAACTTGCCAAAATGACCAAATCCCTCCATATTATTTTTCGACTGATGCATCATTTCAACTTAATTTGACCACACCTTGCATCTTTTTTACAGCTGTCATGTTATTATTACAGTTTTAATCTGATATAATTATGTTTTGATAAGCTTTGAAAACTGGCTTTTGAAAACTGACAATTAGCTGCAGAGGCACTCAGCTATATTCAACAAATTGGTTTTTATGAGTACAGTAACATACAGTAACAACAAATTGTAGAACTCTATAGAGCAGCATATCTGAGTTGCCTAAACAAGTGGTAGGCACTGTGGAGGTGTTTTAAATCTTTGGTAATTGGTTTAATTCTAACTCTTGCCTCCTGTGTTGAAGCTTAAAATCTGACGTGCACGTTACACAGCGCACCCTCGTCTGCACAAGATTTGTAGGCCATTGGCCCGTGTGAAATATGGCCCATTTGCATCTTAAAAAAGAGTAGCCCTACATGCCTTCAGAAAAGAACAAGTATTATGCAATTGTATGGCTCAATTCACTAGTAGTATCCCACTGGAAATTGAAGGCTTTTAGACTTTTCTTGTAAAATCATATTCAATTGACCAATTTGATACATTATGAAGTACAGTAATGCAAGTACTGTAAGCCTTCCCTAGTACTAATGTTAATTTCCAATAAATTTAAAATGTAGTTTAGAATATAGTCGTACATAATGTTGTTAATGTTAAACACTTCACATAGTTTTCAGACATATTGATTTTCAAAGAAATAAATTTCATGAAACAAGCTATAAAACCTAGAAAAATACATGGTAAAAACATATATGATAAAAAATGCTAAACTCAACACACTTCTTATATACTTATGGTACTGGAATATAATTATTGTCTTCCCCAATGGCTTAGCCAGAGTTTATTAGCAAAAAGAAAACAAAATGCTGTCTATAACCAGGTCTCTTAAAGTGCACCATCTAGCCGAGTGCAGTAGCATTGTCAACATCTCATATTTTCAATCCCTGGATATAGGCAATGACAACATAGATGCCTTGGGATTTTGATGATAAAGGAGTGTATTATGTATCTGTGATCTGCTTTTCTAAGTGCTCTGCAAAAAACTACATGAATGATGGCAATAAATTTCATTTCATAATTCATTTCATAATATGATAATCCATTTAATCTGTTCTGGGATTGAAAAGTATATAAGGATGTTGTACAATAAGCAGTCTACCTCGCAGGCAATCTTATGAAGATATGTAGAAAGCGGTGGCACAGCAGTGAGGACGTGAATCTCAATTAAAAGGTCATGAGTTCAAGTCTAATTCTGGTAGCCTTTTATATTATTTTTTATTTAGTGTTTTTTTTCCATTGAAAAAAACTCTTTATCTACATTTCGTTTTTCTCCATAGCAGACAGCCATTGATTCGACGTCCGATTACTGGCATGATTTTGAAGCCATAGCGAACAAAAAGCAACAAGGGACCTCATCTTCCTTAAAAATAACCCAAATGAGAAACATCTACCTCTTGCAATGCAGCAGAAAATTTGCAAAATTGAAAGATTACAGTACAGTACGTTAACTTGACCATGTAGTTCAGGGTGCCAATAACTAGCTAAGCCCAGTTTAAGCAGGTACCAGTTTGATCGACCAATTTTCAGCAGATTCCATGTCGGCCGTTTGAGTTCGAGCAGTTATACAGAATAACCAATTTCGCAAAAAGAGCTAAACTAACAATACATTCAAATTTTAAAGTAAGCAGTAGACACACGCTCCCACCAGGAGGGTAACGTATTTGTATTTATCCTAATATGAATATGCACAAGTTCCTTACAGTATACTTTCGACCACTTGCAAGATTACATTATGTATGAATGTCATAAAAAGCCTCTGCATGCATGAATCTGGGATATATAGTATATAGACAAAGGAATCGCTGCCCTGTAAGATGAAATATCTCCTTTGTGCTGTTTTTTCTGCCCTTAATTAACTGTCATTTCAAATCATAAACAGTGCCCACTTTTATAGAAAAAGGAGACTTTGGCTACGGTCACACTAGCGTCTCAAGCCTGGCTTAACTCACCGTAGGTGAGATTTCAAGCCAGGCTCGAAATTCTGGGTCGGTCACACTAGTTGGATTGACCTCCAAATTATGAAAGTCGAAACAGCAGAGCCGTAGAGAGAGAGTTTGGCCAACTCTGTTTCATGAGATTCGATATACGTGCCCGAACCACTCTTCTTCAACTGATCTTTTATCAGCTTGTATTGGGCTCGCAATGCCTTCACTTTTGTTTGAATTTGGGCCGTCGTTCTCTTCTTATGTCCGAGACTGGCTAATCTGTCAGCAAGCACGCCAAAAATTCCCGTTTTGTTGTTTGTTTTTTTATTTTCTATCCGGTCTCTCAGCTCAGGTTGGCCCCACAAATCCACCAGGTCAGCAGTTTCCTGGTCGCTCCAAATCAATCGCATTATTATTAATTAAAATTTGAATTAACTTTTATAAAAAGTAAAGATTGCGTCTTGATTGAACACACATGAAGAACTTGCGGGTTTTTTTATTCAAGAACTTCTAAACGCAACAGCGTCATCGACTGGATTGGTCGACAGCCGACGAGGAAATGTCAATCTAGGTCACGCCAGGGTCAATCCAGGGTCAATATGGGTACTGAGCCGGGATCGAGATAGGTAGATTGAGATCGAGGTCACGCCAGGCGCAAGTCGGTGCAGATGCGGTCACATTACGAAAATCTCACCTGCGATGAGTCAAGCCAGGCTTGAAACTCTAGTGTGACCGTAGCCTAAGGCTGGGGAACTGTCAGTCTCTGATCAGTAACCGTAACAATAAAAACTACAATATTTATTGGATAACACTTTTATAACAGTGCACACGTTCAACAATATCTATCATAATACTCAAAATAACAAGCAGCAGATAGGAAACTATGGTGTTGTAGATCTAATATTCAACAACTTCAACAGAAATGAGTATCATGTACATCAATAATTAACAGTGCAAAGAATAGACTAAGAAGGATGATTTGAACAGTTCTAATTATCATGTACATTAATAATGCAAATTAATAATTAATGCAAAACAGGGCATAACATCTCACACATTCAATACTTAGTATAGCATCTTTGGAAGATTATAGTGAGTACAATAATCTTTATTGCAAAGGTGTACATTTTAAAAATAGACAAAGGAAATTAAAATTGTTTACACAAATGAAAGGGACTTGGCATTAAATTAACTTCTTTCTTAGTCTACGATTATGAAATTATTACACATTATCTTTTATTATTTACTTCTTGTTAATTATGCTTCTTGTTTGAAGCATTTGCGCAAAATTGTATAATTATTATTTTAGTCCTTATAATTAACAAGTGTTAAAAACAATTACCCTAAACCCTGGTAATTTTATGCAAAACAAATTCGATGGACACCTTTTTAATTAATAAGCAAATGCCGCCTCAAAACTATAGAATGGTCTTAATCAGTACATCAAATCAGCTGTTTCTATCGAATCTTTCAAAACCCTACTAAAAACTTTTCTGTTTAACAATGCTGAATATGCATATGTTTTCCCTTATTTCATCTGGGGTGGTTAATGATGCATGTGCTATTGTTTGTAGGGTGTCCAGAGTTGGGCCCCACCAGTTCCTTACACACGAGACTTCATTGTCTTTTGCAGTGAATGGTAGTAGAGCCGAGGGCTTATTATGAGGTGGAAGCTACCGGAGCCTAGCATACTGCCTAACGGAGTGTCTGCGTGCACCCGGGTGTGACAGCGACATTGTTCTCGACATCGGTGGGTGGAGCCCTGTTCTGGATACTTATACAAATAGCGCAAATGCTTTTTAGGAACTGTTTTAGTTTAAGTACCGTAGTTTAAGTCAAAATTATTTACTGCTTTGTTATCTTTTCTTTTCGTAAACTACATTGAGGCTTTTTTGCGGAATGCGCTATAGAAATATGGAATTATTATTATTATTATAACTTATCTGCTATTCAAGTGGGTATAATAGAAACTTGATTTTGCTATGGATTATAATCAGTTCAGTTAATTTTGATTGGCACTTGTACAAAACATTCTGCACTCAACTCTACTTCCACGAAAATGTAGCTTCTCTACTGAAAATGTTGATAAATGTTAGGTGTTCATGGATGAATGCTAACAGACTAATGCTATGTATGCATAAAAAGACTTTAATGTACTTACATTTTCATGTCTAAAACGTGTTAGAATCTTGATTTCACGTAAGGTTCTTTGACAGTATGTTTGATGTTCAAATGGACTTATCTTCTTTATGGCTACTTTCATTCCTGTTGACTGACATAATGCAGACCTGTACAAAATATAAATATATTTAGGTCTATTAATTATCGATCTAATATTTTGTAAAAGTGATCAATGGAAATGAGCAACCCTCAACTACAATGTACACTTTATCTCCTCACTCGAAAGAAGTAAGGCAGTATTAAAGCGCTGTGACCAGGGAGGGATACAGTGGCGAATCTTGGAATAAGGGAGGTGAGTGGAAATTTACAGAGTGAATGTTCCAGCTATCAAAGCCCCACCATGGTGGGAACTAAGGCATGTCTATGACACCTCTAGAAGTGGCACTCTCAGAATTATACTTGGATAGGAGCTCGGACTGGCTGGGTTATCTTTCAACCTCGAGGCTGGGAGCTGTACATTTTGCTTGTGTTCTTGGACAAGGCAATTTACCTACATTTTCCTCTCTCCTGAGTATAAATGGGTACCCGATGGTTCACTACTGAGAGGGAAAAGGCGGCATGGAAAGGGACTGGCCAACCTAAAATACACATGCCAAGGCTTAGTGCAATGAGCTAACAGCCTATTCCATTATTATATTCAAGTAATGAGCATTGGACAACCATTACTACCAAATGGTCAGCATCAACAAAATATTGAACATCCAAAGCAATACTGCTCCACCACATGTCTATCTTATATCCTTGTCATTATCATCATCATAATCATCACTATCATTTTAAATGTTTTCCATTAGAAGAACCAATTTGTACACAATGTATTAAGTCAAAAACCTTGACGAAAAAGGTTTAATTAGATGGGATCTTGCCATTTTTTGACGGAAGATTACGGTTAAGCTTGGTTAACACTATGGTCATTTAGACATGTTGATGCAAACGCAAATAACGCTACTCTACTATGCCTAGTGGCATTGCTTACATTTGCATTAATACGTCTAAACTGCTTTAGTAAAAACCAAGCTTCATAAAAATTACAACCATTAAGATATGGATTTTAACTCATGTTGGAAGCCGAATACCAATTTGTATTGCATAACCTCTTTATGTTCAATACCAGTACATTTAAAATTCAAGCAAACTGAGTATGCATGCAAATCTTACTCAATGGAACAAATGTGTCATAAAAATGAAACTTTATGCAAGGTTAATTAAACACATCAGATCATCAGCATCTATTATCACATGTGCAAGTATGCTATTAACTTTATTACATTGAATTTCTGCTAAAAATCTAACAACGGACAAATTAGGCTTTGCAATATTGATGTACATAGTATGCTATTGGTAGAAAAGATCTCTCGTGATTTGAGATTTGTAAATTCATAGCCATAATGCTTCTAAAATTTTTTCTTTAAAGATATATTTTTGATATCAGATTTTGTATAAATATGCTTATTATGGTTATGGTTTTCACAGATCTTAAGCTACTTAAGTTCAACATTACCCTGCACTCTCAGATCAGCTGAGCTTTAAATGCATACTCTATCATATTTTCTTAATTGATACGGAAATCAAGGCCATAAGTAGATATCTAATTGATATGCAGATCTCTCGTATTGATCCAAACTCTCCTTGCCACGATTAATGCAAGAAATTACAGATATGGCAAGATCTACACTACTATAGACATACAGTAATAGCAGACTACCCTGCTAAGATCGTCTCACAATTAATAATTATTATAAGCATGCGTTGTACTTGCGGCAGTAAGGCTTTGGGCTTGCTTCGATTCATTTTAAGTTTGAGTCAGATTCTGGTTGCGTTACTTATAACCATGCACTACAGTCTATAGATTTTGTCTCACCATCAAAAGTATAAATAGGTACCAGGAAGTATATGAATGATCTTAGGCCAGACTTTTTATACCTTGTTTAGCAAACCCATCGACCATCAAAAATGGTAATTTTTAATAAAAATAATTTTTATTTTGGCCAGTTAGCGCACCTCCGCCACGAAAAAAATGGAAATTTTATAAAAAAAATATAATTTTGTATTTATTTTTATTACGCACTCCACTCCCCTGAGATTCTCCAAAAATATGATATCTTCCTTAATTATATAATTTTAAAGCATTTTATTCATCTTATTACTACACTGTTTAATTTATAAATAAAATTTTATTTTTATTTCCTCCTTTGCTAGCTTGTTCTGGCAAAATCATTTTGCTATGTTTAAACAAAATTTTATGTTTATTCTCCGCCCCTCCCCCCACCACCACCATTCTTCAACCATCTTTAAGAAAATAAGTTTGCGAAACAAGGTTTAAAAAAAGTCTGGCCTTACTGATCAGTGCTGAAGTAGCATGAATACTCCAATGGGAATGAAGAAGTTCCATATTGTGTATGATGGAGAACAGTAACGGAAAGATCTGCTCCCAAAAATACATTCAAATGTAGTAGACCTAGTTATTAACAGTGTCGATTTGGCCAATTTTACTCATACTGTATACTTATTCTTAATTCATTTGATTCAAAACAGTTTTCCTATATAATTTTAAAGCATTTTATTCATCTTATTACTACACTGTTTAATTTATAAATAAAATTTTATTTTTATTTCCTCCTTTGCTAGCTTGTTCTGGCAAAATCATTTTGCTATGTTAAAACAAAATTTTATGTTTATTCTCTGCCCCTCCCCCCACCACCACCATTCTTCAACCATCTTTAAGAAAATAAGTTTGTGAAACAAGGTTTAAAAAAAGTCTGGCCTTACTGTTCAGTGCTGAAGTAGCATGAATACTCCAATGGGAATGAAGAAGTTCCATATTGTGTATGATTGAGAACAGTAACGGAAAGATCTGCTCCCAAAAATACATTCAAATGTAGTAGACCTAGTTATTAACAGTGTCGATTTGGCCAATTTTACTCATACTGTATACTTATTCTTAATTCATTTGATTCAAAACAGTTTTCCTATTAATAGAGACTAAACAACGATAAAGGATCAGCATAATAACTACACTGGTCACCGATTGAAAAGGTTGCATAAACATTTAATTGATATGGAGTACATCTAAATAACACAAGTGCATATTCATGAATGAGTGTTTGGAATAAAAGCACTGGTTCTTGACAACGAATGGACTGGAAGATTTGGGGGCCATGTGCAGTAACACCAAATGATACAGTTTTTGGAAATTGAATAAAATCCTTAATAATCTTTAATGGTTTCTGATAATATAATCCAATAAAACAAAATATACCAGAGGCAAATTTGTATCTTTTTTGTTTATCCTGTAGAATGTACTAATCTAAAGGAAAGATCTGCTCACAAAAATCCAATCTTTCATAAGATTTCAAAATATTGAACAATTTAAAGGGGGAAAATCAATCACTCAAAAATCCAATAAAATTATCATATGCCTATTATACATGTATTATAGTATTAGTCATTACTGAATAATGGAAGAAATAAGTGTTTGGAAGGTCATTCGAGATCAATGCATTCTTATTAGTCTGTTTGCATAGAGTACGATCCTCGTCATGTACTTCGGTGAAAAGCCGTAAAAAAATAATTACATCAGATGCTGTTATGTAGGATGAAATATATCATTAACAACCTCCACCATTCTGCATCGCCTAAAGCGCATATCATATGTGGTCATGTGACATTTGTTCTAAGTCATGTGACATTAAAACCTTTCTAATAATATAATTGGCATGGTGCACTACATGGCAGGGACTCAAGAGCTGGGAATGTTGACATTTTTAAAAGTCATCGGTTGTAATATGATTATGTGTTACTATATTATATGCCTCAAGTCAGCTAAACTATCCATTAAAAACTAGGATGTACAGTAATTTATATTTGCTAATTGTCTTACCAAAAAAAAAATCTTTGTATTAATGCCCGCACCTAAGAAACAAAATACAGTACAATATTAAAGATAAAAATTAAGTAAAAGAAATCTTCTATTTATTCAAAATTATTGCATTGCTGCATGATTTAAATTAAGAGTATCACAATTTCATAGTAAAAATAATAGCATGAATGCTACATGGTTGGCTTACTGGAGTAAGCCAACCATGTGTATAAAAAGCCAACTCTCTGAGACCAGTATTTAAACGTATTATCTTTGGATCATAAGTGAATTTGTCATTCAATTTTAAGGGCTGCACCCAACTTTGATGTTTCAGAGCACATCCAAAAACCTTCACACAGTTTTATGGCCAAATTATGCTGAGTTTTACTATTACTTTTTACAGATGATCAGCCTGCAGATAATCAGTGCCGGGCCGCATGCAGTGTTTTCTAGCCAAGGATGGTTGGCGGGCCGCACACATACTGCACAGTTTGTAATTCATATTCGCGGGCTGCAAGAAAATCGCTGGCGGGCCGCACTTTGCCCAACTGTGACTTAATCATTTTAAAGCCAATATTGGAGATTCTTAATTCTAGGCCTAATTCACAATTACACACATGATGTAGTCATGCTCCATGTTTGTCGGAATATGAATAACCATATAGTCTTACCGCTCGTTAAAGTTTTATAAACAAAAAAATGTGGACTTTAATACAGTAATTAGGCCAAGCCATTTTCGTATAGAACTTAGGCTCTACAGTATTCGCTGGATTTGGCAACAATCCAACGAAATGTTTTAGTAGATCATGCACTACCACTATCGGTAGTCTCGGCCTAAATAGTACAGTAGCTTCAGACCACTTTCAAATTTAGGCTTCAAATTGGGCCAAATTCTTTAGCGTAGAAAACATACAGTAGATCAACTTACATGGTACTTTGGTTAACAGTTTACTGGTATATTAGTACCAACCATGTACAACAACATTCCTATAATAATAAACAATTAAAATAACCTTGATTTGCTTATTGACTTCTTTTCTATTCTATCTACACAAAACAAGACAAAGGCCTTACAATACTGTATGTATAAAGACAAACAAAGCACAACAATACACATTAACAGATATGGTTTCTGTTGCTAAATAAATACAGAGCACAGAAGCTGCTCATTGGTATCCTTCGTCAGTATATTAAGACACTTAAAATGTTTTGTTAAATCCTGGTTAAAACCATGGGAGGTATTCTGCT